TGAAAAGCAGCCAAAGAAATCATCAGCCATGATTCCATGGTCTTGCAGAAGAAATATGGTCATAACCTGCGAAAAGAGAGAGAAGTGGTCCCCATCCAACACAAACCTTGAAAAGTGGATGCTCACAATTAATGAGTGAAACAGTTGCCCACTGAAATCTTGTCTAGGGAGGGAAGATGTCCTAAGTTCTGCTTCTGTAAACTCCAGTCATAAATCTGTCCTCATAAATCTGTCCCTGGCATCTCTTTTACAAACATACTGGACCCACCGACCTTTGGAAATGTGGTCCTAAGTCACGTAGGCTGCATTTAAACCCACCAGTACTGTAACAGCTGAGGTATGATGCTGATGATCCTACAAATATTCTAAGAAACTTGAATTTATGCTCAATTCTCAGGAAATCATTGCAGCTGAGCCCAGGGCCATCAATATAAACCCCTTGGGTCCTCCACTCTCTTTGTGCCTGTTTGAAAGGAGGGAGTTTTCCCACCCCAGGTTTCTGTAACAGCCTCAAATTCCAGATTGGAAAATCTGATAATTAAATACAGAAATGGGATCAATCCCCAAAGCTACTGCACACGCTTCACACTGCTCCCTCTGGGAAAAAGCTGAACACTCAGGGTCACTTCTATCAGGTGTGTCCGTGGGGACCCCACCAGGAAGATGAGGTGCAGGATGAGAGCAGTGGGGCAGATCCTAGTCAGATCCTCCTTCCCACCCACCCGCTGCCCCAGGCTCTTGGCTGAAGGCCATGCAGCCCCACCCCGCAGGAACCAGCCCAGGAAACAGCAGGAGGCCCGGCTCAGACTGCATTCTGAGACCATGCACAGTGCAAACCGGGCTTATCTAACTGTGGAGAGCGGGAGCCTCCCCACCTTCCTTCCCTGCGTGTGCAGGTTCCCAGAACGCTGCCCTCTCTCTCCTGTAACCACTAAATAAAGCACATTAGCGACTGTTTGGGTGAGGTTCTGCAGGGACAGGCCAGGCACTGGGAGTCTGGGAAGCGGAGGTGGGAGACAGAACAGCCCTGGTGGGCACTAGCGCGCCCACGCCCACAGGCATTCAGAATGCAGATTACACCAGAGCTCCTGGGGACTCTGGGAAATGGAGTCCAGGCCGCAGCATCCCTAGAGCATTCCAGTCCTGACCTCAGGGGAAGCTGCCATGATCACTGAGAAGTGAGCCTCACTGGGGGCTGCCAGCCGCCCTAGCACCCATCCACCCACACACGTGTCCCCGCCCCTTCCTGTACCCCAAACCTGCTGCAGAAAGTCCCGGGAGCAGGTACCCTTTCTTCTGCACACACGGGGAGTGAAACGGTGAGTGTGGGGCAGAAAGAGCCCCTGGCACGTGGTACCCACAAGCGGACGATGAAGAGGGAAGCAGCAGCAGGAGGCAGGCTCGGGGTGAGTGCTCGGAAACTGCCTGGGACTGCATGTGCAGAGCAGGAGATGCAGTAAATGCCCGAGAAGGAGCAGCACAGCCCTCAGGGCTGACCCTGATTTGGGAATGAACTCCCTCTGGTCCAACTCAGAGCCCCACAGGCGGGCACTAGAACACGCATGCGCACAGGCATTTGGAACGCAGATTACGTCGGAGCTCCTGGGGACTCTGGGAAATGGAGTCCAGGCCACAGCATCCCAGAGACACCAGCTGGCCCTCCCCAAGGGCGTTTGCTTTTGTTAAGTCCCTCCTTCCTGTCCTTCCCACCCCAAAATCTCAAGGATCAGTTGCTGTTCTTCCTTTCCTGAATTAGAATTTACAGAGTGACACCCACTGCTGCTACTGACCCCAAATACTGGCTCCCTCATAACCTCTGTCTCTCCCAGAAAAATCTTATTTACAGCCTTGTACCTGGAAACTTCTCCCAAATCATGGATGACTATGAATACAATGTAACTTTTAACAGAGGTGTAGAAGGCATGGTTTAACATCCAGTTTTGAGAATTCCTTTTTTATTTGTGTCTTATTGATGTTTACAGTTCTTTTGTTTAATATTTATTTATTTATTTATTTGGACATCAGAGTTACACAGAGAAGGAGAGGTAGAGAGTGAGGTCATCCACCTGCTGGTTCACTCCCCAATTGGCAGCAGTGCCACAGTGCTGACCCCTTTGAGTTCTTTTCAAATCACTTAACACAGTCTTTTAATTCACCAAGTACAGAGACAAAAAAGGAATGGGACACAGAGCTAACAGAGCTGAGTATTCAGGGAGGCAGGTTAAGGGGCTAAATGCCTTACATCATATCATTTATACCTTATTTAATTCTGGGAATAGTATTACATGGAGTTTACAAAGCAAAAACTGGTGCAAAGTGTTTAGAAAAATTTCCCATAGCAATATCATTAAAAAGTCTAAGCTAAAAACCAATCAAGGGGCCAGTGCTGTGGCATAATAGGTAAAGCCACCGCCTGCAGTGCCAGCACTCCATATTGGGTGCCAATTTGAATCCCGGGTGCTCTACTTCTGATCCAGCTCTCTGCTATGGCCTGGGAAAGTGGTGGAAGATGTCCAAGTCCTTGGACCCTTGCACTTGCGTGGGAGACCTGGAAGAAGCTCCTGGCTCCTGGCTTCAGATGGGTACAGCTCCAGCCCTTCCAGCCAATTTGGGAGTGAACCAAAAGATGGAAGATCTCTCTCTCTCTCTCTCTCTCTCTCTCTCTCTGTATTTCTCTTTCTCTCTGCCTCTCCTACTCTGTGCAACTCTGACTTTCATATAAATAAATAAATCTTTTATAAAAAGCAAATCAAAATATAATACTGGTTTAAGAAATTGTTCTTTTGTCTTATGACTCAGTTTCTAAAATCTCAGATTTCTCATACAGAAAAATATGTGAGAGTGATAGTACCCACAACAATAATTTACACTATAGAGACACGTAGGATTACAACTTGTCTAGAAAAGAATGGGGATTCAAAGTTGCTATTATTTCATGGTTATTTTTTCTTATTTTTAATATCCAAGATATAGCATATAAATATTATGCAGTCCTAGGTATTTGTGTGTTGTTTGCCTCTTTTTCTCTGTGAAAATCTGATTTTAAATAAATAAAGTAAATCTTTTAAAAAAAGAGAGAAATGAAAGACACTCAAATAATAACTTGTAAGAAAAACAGTGTGTATATATCTTTAATAATGGCATACTATTTTGCAATAAAATTAAGAAATGAAAGGCCATAAAATAATGAAATTCAAAATAAATTTTTAAAAAAGAGAGGCTAATCCTCCACCTAGCGGCGCAGGCACACCGGGTTCTAGTCCCAGTCGGGGCACCGGATTCTGTCCCAGTTGCCCCTCTTCCAGGCCAGCTCTCTGCTGTTGCCCAGGAGTGCAGTGGAGGATGGCCCAAGTCCTTGGGCCCTGCACCCCATGGGAGACCAGGAGAAGCAACTGGCTCCGGCCATCGGATCAGCGCAGTGCGCCGGCTGCGGTGCACTGGCGGCAGCCACTGGAGGGTGAACCAATGGCAAAAGGAAGACCTTTCTCTCTGTCTCTCTCACTGTCCACTCTGCCTGTCCAAAAAAAAAAAAAAATCAAACTGGCAAATGACAATGCATCCCTACTAATGGATATATAACCAAAGGAACTAAAGTCACTATCTCAAAGATGCACCTGTTCATGTGAGCATTATGCTCAAGAACAAGACATGGAAATAGCCGCATTGTCTGTCAACAGATGAATAGAGGAAAAGTGATACACACACACAATGGAATCACATTCAATACTAAAAAAAAAAAAAAATCTGCCATTTTCTCACAACATGGATCCAAAGGTATGAATGTGGACATTAGGATGCTTGAGATAAGACACAGAAAGATAAACACCACACGATCTCACATACGTGAGGAATCTAAGAAAACCAAACTGAAGCACAGAACAGAATAGTGGTTGCCAGGCTCTGAGAATGAAGGAAATGAGAAGATGGTAATTGAATGACACATGTTTGCACTTAGGAGATAAAATAACTCCTTGAGACCTAATATACAGCACAGTACATTGAATATGTCTGCAGTATTAGATACTCACAATTTGTTAAGATCATAAATTTTTTTACAAACTATTAAAGGTGGTGATTTTGTTAGTCTGATTGTCCTATCATTAAATAATATATATGCACAAGGGAACACAAAAGTTCATGAAAAATAGCTTTAAAAGATAATTTGAATTTTTGTAAACTTTTAAAAGTCCTCTCAGATATCAAAACATCAGCTTGCAGACCTTGAATACATACAAATTTTGTCAATTTTTCCCAGATAATCTTGAAAAATTACCCTGTTAAATTATAAATTTAAAAAACTTTGCAATCTTTGGGATTGGGAAGGTTATCATGGAACAGAAATAATTTTTAAAGCACTCATACATGTGACTAGCTGAAGTTTCTATTTTGAGAGTTCAAAGACAGATGATCATCTGTTAAAGTAATGTGTAAGTGCTAAGATGACATCCAAGTACCAAATTACAGTGGCCTCCTGCCCCTCTAACACTTCGACAAAAACCCTGTGCTGAATAAACCTGTTGTTCTTACCTCAACCTAGTCTATGACTCTTCTGTTGGCAGCAAAAAATGAGGTCAGAACCCCCAGAAAGAACTATGCTGAGAGGTCTGACTGAGGCCCTGCTTCCAACACCTTCCAGAAACTTGGGGAGTCAGGTCACCCTGGGAAGAAAAGAGGGACCGAGGACCCCACAATGGCAGCCCCTCGCCTGCATGAACCCCAGTCCCACAGCCTGGATCCTCCCTAGCGACCACCTGGTCCCCACTCACTATTGGGGAAGACACAAGGCTGCCACCACACAGCTGCCCAGAGACGACTCCCGGGATCCTGAGCCCACAAGTCCCTGCCAGGAAGGGATAGGACTCCTGGGATCCAGGTGCCAGCCCAGCCCGGACAAGGTGGACAGAGGGCTGAGGGCAGTGCTGGGCCAGCAGCGAGATGGGGCCACAGACTCCAGAACCCTCACCGCCTTCCCCATCTCTGCACGTCTGCCCTGCACTCACCTTCTCACAGCTTCTGAGGGGTGCGGAATCCTGTGGGGGAAACACCCGCGGTGAACAGGGGATGAACCTCCCAGCAGCACAGCCCCCTCCTCGGACCTCTCTCCACTGCAGAACTGGACAATGATTATGGCGTCAAGATCCTGCGTGATTACATAGTGTTTATGCGGCTGCTCCTGATTGGACAGTTCTGATAACCGTGAGCATGTACTACGTCACAAAAGATGCAACCAATCGCCATCCTCCACAGTGCTGATGTGCAACATGGGAAAAAGTAAGAGGGAGTCCTGGGTTCAGTACCAAAACTTCATTCTCCAGGGCTCCACCCTGCCTGCAGTGGGAGAGCTTTTCACCCCTGGTCCTGCCTCCTGCTTGACGCTCTCCTATCCCTGGTCCCTTTCACTCAGAGGATCCTACCTGGAGGTTACAGGACCCTGCCTCAGATCAGTAACAATCTACTGGCCGTTTATTGGCATCTGAGCCTTCCTTTTCAACTTATATGTAACACATTTCTCTGATGAGTCATTTATGTTCTTTTTTATTCTTCTTCTTCTTTTTTTTTTTTTGGCAGGGAGAGTTAGACACTGAGAGAGAGAGACAGAGAGAAAGGTCTTCTTTCTGTTGGTTCACCCCCCCCCCCAAATGACCGCTAAGGCCCTAGCACTGCTGTTATATTTCACTGACTATTCCTGCAGTAGGAAGTTGTAGAGAGGTAGTGCAGGCATCAGGGTCTAGGTTTACTCCCAGAGGAGAAAAATTTCAATGACCCTAATACTTGTGTTGCTTGTTGTAGGTTCTATCCTATGTTGATTAGATTAAGAAACTCCCTGTGTTTTTCTTGTGTTTTGTTTGTTACTCTGTTTTGATCAGAGTTATTTTTAATTGGATGCTGGACTTTATTAAATGCTTTTAAACATGGAACCAAAGTGAGCATGTGATTTTCTTGTAGTTTTTTACCTGCCTGGGTGACTTGTACAGGAATCTTAACCACTCTTGCATGTTTTATTATATTTGCTTGCTATTAATCTGTTATGTTTTCTTATGTGATTTCATTTATCATGTTAATATATTGTTTAGGATACTTCTAGCTCTGTTTGTGAAAGGGATATTTTTATTTTTCCTGCATAATGGAAAGAGTTTATTGGGGAAAATCTGACAGACTGGAGGGAAGGAGCGAGGTAGGAAAAGAGGAAGAAGGAGTACATAAGAAACAGATCCAGAGACAGAGAGACAGAGATCAGGAGAGGAAGAGAAAGAGATAACAAAAAGGGATACTTTCAGGAAACTTTTTATTTCAAGATGTGGTAAACCTGCATCATTATCAATGTAATGCTGATTTTCCAAAATACATTTTAAAGTATTTTCTGCTTACTTCCACTTTGGGTAGGTCTGGGAAACATAGATTTGTCTTTTCTCCCTTAAAAGCTTTGAATATTCTGTAAGTTGGGACCAAAATTTAGATTTGTGTGACTTTTCCCATGGTTTCCTTGGATCTTTATAGATTGTTCTTCACTGGGGATTCATGTGATTTTCATGCCCTCTTGATTAGACTAAGTTTCTGGGTTTTTGAGAGTAGGGCCATGATTTTTATTGCAGCACAACAAGAATAAGTCACTGTCAACACAATATCACTGTTGATGTTGGTCTGGAACACCTGGTGGCAGTAGTATTTCTCAGGTTTCACTAATGTGAAGCCACTCTGTGCCTACCTCAAGCCCTTTTCCATACTCTACTCTTTTGAAGTAGTTCACCATGCATAGCCCATGCTTAAGGAGTAGACAGACACATATTCTTGAAGGTAGTAGTTATTTGGGATTCTTTTGGCTGGAAAAATTATCTCCTCATTTATTTATTTTATTTATTCAACCATTCATTTATGTCACTGTTGATTCAGGAATATTGACTTTATACTTTGAATATTATCCAGTAGGGGCCTTCAAAGATTTCACAGAAGATGCACATCATGAAAAAAGAAAAATGTGCATGAATTTAACATTTTGAACCAAAAATGTATCGTAATTCAATTTTCTATCAAACTTTGAAGTTCCTATACAATTTCATTGATGTTACTACTTAAGTTATTTCAGTTTTAGCCATTGGGAAACTTTTCACCTGGTTCCATTGTCATGCCTCCTCATGATGGGGACATTTATTAGTGAAACATCTTTTATTCTCTGGCACTGTAAGATGTCCCAATGTCATATTTATATATCTCCTGAGACTGAGACTAAGCCATTTTTCCAAAGATCCCTGGACCTTGTAATAGGAAAATTGTTTAGAAAAAGATCAGGGCTCCACGTATGTTCAATGCTCCTGGGCTGTTGTTACTTCCAAGCCCTATCAGCTGTCAGAGCAAGGAAATGTATGTATACCACTCTGTGTATGTATGTATGTATAAATTTCCTATACTTAACTATCTGTATGTACATATATATTAAGCTAAATGTGTTCATATTGTTACCTCCAACCCCAATCCTTGACCATGAGAATCATCTTAGCCATCTTCCATTGCTTTTCTGTAAATGTCCTTTCCAGAATCCTGTTTTAAAAGGATTTCCAGAGGCCAGCATTGTGCTATAGTGCATTAGACTGCTAGCTGTGATGCTGGCATTCCATATGAGCACTGGTTGGAGTCCTGGCCTGCACCCTGTTAATGCACTCTGGCAAAAAAGCAGCAGAAGGCCAAAGTATCTGAACCACTTCCAGCCATTTGGGAGACCTGGATAGAGTTCTTGGCTCCTGGCTTCAGCTTGGCCCAGTCCTGGCCATTATGGCCATTTGGAGAGTGGACTATCAGATAGAAGATCTCTCTCTCTCTCTCTCTTCCTGTCTCTAATTGCCTTTAAAGTAAATATATATTTAAGAAATTTCCTTAAGATAATTCTGAAAATACATCTCTGTTTACATGTGTATGCATTATATGTTCATCACTGAACACTTGGAAAATTTAATATAGTCTATTGGAGGTGATAAAACTTCCTTCTATATTCAGTCACTTAACATTTGCACATACATACATGCATATATACATATTCTTTTACAAACAAACTATGACTAAATTAGACATGGTATTTTGTAGTCTACTTTTCCTACTCAATAATCTGTAATGAGCTTTTCCCTTCATGTCATTAGCTATTTTTTTAAAGATCATAATTTTAATTGGTTAAAATATTAACCTCTCCTTTTGATAACTTAAGTTTTAGCAATTTTGAAAAAAAATGAAATAAAATAAAATAAAAATAAGAAAATAATTTGGTATGATGAATATCTATAGTAAACCCTCTTCAAGATAAATCATACATATGTCTGATTTTCCAGTTTAGATTATTTTATAGAAATTCAATTTCTTGGCCCCAAAGTAATTACTGGGTCCCAGAGTAGGGACACTTTAAGGACTATGGCAAACATTGCCAAACTTCCCTCCAGAAAAAACACCAGTAATTTAGCTACCAAAATTGTATAAGATTCATTTTCTTGAGAATATGCTCAGTAATGAGATACTGAAATAATTTTAAAAGAATCATCAATTGAGTCATTATCATTTCATTATTGTTTTGCATTAAATTTGTTTTATTATAAGTGTGTGTTTGAGCTTTATTTCCTAAGTTCACTATCCAATTATTTCTTCAATATTTCTTCATTTCTATATTGCCTTTACCAACTTTTTAAGAATTTTTATTTAAATGAATGGAATAAATATCATGTATTTCACACTTATGGTTTTAAGAGAATAATGATACTTCCCACTCTACCCTCTCTCTTCCATCCTCCTCATTTATACAATGACATACTTTAATTTACTTTATACTCACAAGCTTAACTCTCCAGTAAATAAAGAAACCCCCTAGTAACAAGAAGTAACTAAAAAAATTAAAAATAAAACACTTCCTCAAGAGTATAGACAAGGCCTAAAAAGTCAAAGGTAAAAATATCAATTTTGATCATATGCACTACATTTTGTACTCTGTATATTAGCTGCCAAAAATCAGAGAAACATTTGATATTTATCTTTATAGGACTGGCTTATTTGAAAAGCATAATAGTCTCCAGTTGCATCCCATTTTTGCAAAAGAGAGAATTTCATTCTTTGTAATGAATGAGTAGTATTCCATTGTGTGTGTGTCTGTGTGTGTGTGTGTACATATTTCACAACTTCAAAATTAGTCATCAGTTGATGGCCATCTGGATTGATTCCATATCTTATCAATTTTGAATTGAGATACAATATAACCCTTGATATCCAGATAACTCTTTAATATGCTGATTGCACTTTGAAAAATTCCCAGAACTGGGATTTCTAGGTCATATGGGAGATCTATTTTCAGATTTCTGAGGAATCTCCATACTGTCTTCCATAATGGCTGTGCTAATTTCCAGTCCCATCAACAGTAGATTAGTGTACCTTTTTCACCACATCCTCACCAGCATTTGTTGTTTGATTTTTCTATGATAGCCATTCTAATTGTGGTGAGGTAAAACCTCATTATGATTTTATATGCATTTTCCTGATGGCAAGTGACTCTGGGCTTCTTTCCATGTGTCTGCTGGCCATTTATATTCCATTCTTTTAAAAATCCACTTATATTCTTAGCCCCTTTCATAACTGGATTTTGTGTTTTGTTCTTGTTGCGTATATATATATATATATGTATAGAGAGAGAGAGAGAGAGAGAGAGAGAGAGGTCTTTCATCCACTGGTTCACTCCACAATTGGCTGCAATGGACAGAATTGTGCCGATCTAAACCAGGAGCCAGGAGCCCCCTCCTCTGGGTCTCCCATGTGGGTGCATGGACCCAAGGACTTGGGCCATCCTCCACTGCTGTTCCAGGACATAGCAGACAGCTGGATCAGAAGTTCAGCAGTAGGGACTCAAACTGGCACACATATGGGATGCTGGCACTGCAGGCCTCAGCCTTATCCACTAAGCTAAAGTGCCCCCATCTTTATTTTTAATGTTGATGACTGGTTTAGCTATTTTTGGTCTTGTGATTTCCTATGATTTTAGGTTCATTTTACTCAGATCTGAGAAGAATGTGGTATTTGGATTGAATTGCATTTGCTTTGGGTAGTATTAAGATTTTGATAATATTATTTCTTCCAACCCATGAACATGGAAGATTTTTCCATTTTTGTGACTTCTATTTCTTTTGTTAATGTTTTATAACATTGATTGTAGAATTCTTTGGTTGATTCCTTGGTTAAATTTATGCAAAGGATTTATTTTTTTTGTAGTTATTGTGAATGAGACTGATCTTACAAGTTCTTTCTCAGCTCTGATATTGTGTATATAAGAGCTTTTATATTTGTGTGTTGATTTTGTATCCTGTAAGTTTGCAAATTTCTCTTATGAGTTCCAACAATCTCTTAATGGAGTCCTTTGGTTCCCCTATGTATTGGCTCATATGATCTGCAAATAGGGATAATTTAACTTGCTCCTTTCCCAATTGTATACCTTTTATTTATTTTTGTCAAATGGCTCTGGCTAAAACTTCCAGAATTATACTGAATAG